CATATGTTTCACAACATAAAAAAGATCAACGATCGATTTTGTCACATGTGATAAAACGAATGTCCACTATGCTTTTTCCCTGTATATTCAATTATAAATATATTACCTTTTTCAATTAATTCTAATGATTTATCTTCTTTTCCATTAGTGAGTGAATATCCCAAATAATTAATGCAATTATATCATCTAGATAACTATATATTGCAATTTTGCTAGTCATTTCTTTCAAGATGTTACACCCTATCATTGCTAGTGTTAAATTAGCAATCAATACTGGATTACCAATAGGCAGTCCTTTGATTTCAAAATATGTTTCGTTTTTATATTCAATGAAAAAGAATCTTTTTATAAATACCCATTTGAAGTGTTTAGGATCATTACTAAGGAGGCTCTGAGCATATTTCAACACTATGTACTAAACATCATGTAGCAAATGTATGTATATCTTTAACATCGGCTGCGAATATTTCCATGTTGCTATCTGAGAAATTGAAAGTCTAATGAATGGACCCTATCTATTTTTGATAGTAATGGTTGTGAGTCATTTTACTCACTTTTTCATTTATCCGGCCTACATTATGTTGAACATTTATATATTTGGTGATGTTGTACGTGAAAATGAAATTATGTGAATTCGCAATTCACATATGTGAAATTCAAATTTACATACGTGAAATTCAAATTAGCCAATCAGAATTTCACCCCACTCCATAATATTTCAATTTCACATACAACAGTAATATACATATACTTTTGGTACTTAAATTCTATTGAAATATATATTTCCAAACTATATTGAATATATATCTTTCTAGTGATGTTAGTCGGCAGAAACCCTTAGCTTAAATAAATCCCAGTCGATGAAAAACTTTTCAGATGGTACTAAGCTTGCCGGTATCATTATTACTACTAATAATATTATTATTTACTATTGTTATTATAATATCCCGCCATTATTGGTTTGAATAAGTTTTATTTGAATTATTTATTTTATTCGTTATGAACTTGAGTATTCGAATTACATTGAAGGTTTACTCGAATAATCATAATAAAATGAACAATTATATTAATTCGAATAAAACGAAATAATCCAATAAAACGAATAATTCGAATAATAATAAGACAAATAAAGCGATAATAATAATAACTGATAATAATTCGAATTAATATTAATTGCTAAGATAATTGCATTTTCACGCACAACAATATCATGAAAATACACTTTTATTCCCATTGCTTCAGCGAGAATAGATTGTTGAGAAAGAACTCTTATGACATAACCACAACAAACAGTTCCCAAATCATTATAACTTTAATGATTTATCAAGCGTATTTTATAGCACTTAAAAGATGCTTTCACCCAAGCAAATAGTCTCAGCAATCACCAATTTAGCAGCATTCTTACTATAACTGAGCCAACGAATTTAGTTATTATATATTAGTACAAGCAGGAGCTTTAGCATTTATGATATCTCTACTATAAGTAACAACTTTTAAAAATTGTTAGAAAAAATCATTTTGTAAAACGTTGACCACAAAAAACCATCAAATAAACCAACTTGTGTATTAAGTAAAGGTTGCTCTGTGAGTGGATAATAACTCAACTATACGTGTTTTAAACTCTGATCAAAGATTTTTTGTACGAGCCTGTTACTTTTGAAAAAGTACATTCACATTTTGTAAGACTTTGACTGAAAACCATCAAGTAAACATGACCTGCGTATTAATATTAAGTAAAGGTAAAAAATTAGTGCTTGAAAGTTAGATAAAAATATTTTATTTGAAACCATTGTGACTTTGTTTGTTGTTTTATGACATCAATTTGATTCGAATCGAATTCAATTTTATAAATTCGAATCATGACTCAGAGCCACACGGAATGGTGAATCAAATATTTCAATATCTTGATTGTTCCAATACAAAAACACTCAATTACTAATAAAAGTTTTTGGCCACTTGAAGCGCTTTTAACCTGCAGTAAGTTTAATTCCAAATCGCATGAACATCGTACTTTTCTATTAAAATATCTGATTTTTTTAATGATTTATAAATAATATTGACTTGCAGGAATTTCATTACACATTTAAAATCAGATGACATCAACACTAATAAATAAATAATTAGTAATTATTTTAAGTTCTATAACAAACAATGTATATAAGTGATATTTAATAAAATATAAATATTTAAAACAATACAATATATAAATATAATTAAAAAGATGATAATAAGTTTAAAAAAATAATATTATTATAATGTTCACATGCACAGCACGATCTGTAATAAATAAAAATGAGAATATGTTTTTGATATATATACACACACAAAAGAAAATACTCATTCCATCTTTCACATTTCTTCACTTACCAATAATACTGGCTTCCCATGCCCAACTTTATCAGGTCAAAAATCATACCCTCAAGTGCCACACATGACGGGCATACATCATGGTCACATTGTTGACATCTTAAGCGTTTCCCTTCATAAAACTTTTGGCATTCATCACATTTCCATGGTCCATAAGATGATGCATATCGCATAGAATGACTTCTATCACATTTTTTAACAGGTACACATCGAGCATTAGGCTTACAGTGGCTAGGGCAAGCATCAAAACTGCAAGTTCTGCAATAATATTTAGATTTCTGCGAGGAAAATATAAAATTGGTGTCAAAAGAGGATTGAAATTTTTGTAATTCAATGAAGAAAATAAAAATGAAAATAAAATAAAACAAGTATAAAATCATTTACCAATGTTGTTCCATTTTTTCCACATACGTCACAAAACCATTGACGTATGCCCGATTCTTTTAATTCATGTCCCGCAAAACATAGAGGCAAGGGATCTTGTAATGTTAATGTCATGGATCCAGATACATCGATCAGCAAAGTATAATCGATGGCAACGTCACTAAGTTCTCTGCGTTGTTGAACTTCGGCCCACGTAGCAGAAACATTACTGACAGATAATTGCTTAATCGAAAGAACATTGGAGGTGGTGATTTCCATTGCAATGGTTAGGAATGCAAATTCAAGCAGGTAAAAATCTTTGACAGGAATATAAGTAAATTTTCCAGAACTTGCAATCTAATTCAGTACGAAGACATGAAGAGATAATGTTCAGTGAGGAGGTTCGCTGTGCTCTCTTGTTTTTTTTTTTAAAAAAATATTATTG